AAATTTGTTCCAGATTGTACTATTGTCCTATGTCAACAAATATGAAATCTTCTGAAATTCGAATTAGTTTAATATGTCCATAATCTATTTGAGAAAATTCATTATACCAGCTCTCAATTTCCTCGAACTATTCTGATTGTGAGAAGTTTAAATAGGCGCTCTTCTCGCCATAATGTCGAATGAATGACTACAACACTGTAGGAATAGAAGACTCTCCTGGGTTTAATCGACCGTTTTCGTTCCCTAATTATTAATTATTGTACTCGCAGTTTCTGCAGGTTATTATTTCATTATCTCATTGTCAGTCTACCGTTAAATATGCTAGAACATAGTGAGATTTTCAAAATCGAGCTTCTTGGAAGAAAATTGATCGATGACGTAGTTGTATATATATATATATATATATATATATATATATATAAGTGTGTGTGTCGTTTTCTCAATTAAGCATCTCCTACATTCAAATATTTTGTAATTGCCTTCATTTCTGCTTTCTTATTGCTGTATCTATTTCAACTGCATTTACTAAATTTTAATCCTGTTACAGTAGAAGCACCTAGTTTTAAGGAGAATTATAAAGGATAATCTAGGCGATATTGCTACACTTCATCTCAAAATAGAATTAATTAGGAAAATGTTTATTCGTACACTCCCACACATACTGACTATATACAAACTTATCTTTGTTTGATTGCGACATTATGTATATGTATTTTTAAATATTAAATTTTACATTAAAACAAGCATTGATAATTATCAATTATAATTATATCAGCAATTTCAGTTGTATGAAATGTTATGTTTACAGTATCTTGTAGTGATTTTTCGAGTAATTCTTACGTTAATCCAATCATCAATTAAAAAATTATCAAAAAATTACACATTCGATTTTTCAAATGTTTAATATATCTTATTTTTGTTATTTATATTTTCGAAATCTCGTATCTTTACCCAATCAGATTAATTTTATCTACTTAATGATTGTGTTGAACTGAGGTGAGTTTGTAATAAATTTTCATTAGAGTTGTAAAAGTTTCGTTCGGGATGCTTTCGATGGACAAACTTTATAAAGACAAGTGAAAGCAGAATTTATATATATATATATATATATATATATAGATTAATCGCTGCTCTGTTTTTAAAAATAATTATTAGTTATATAAGTGTAAAATATAAGTAAGTAGCAATTGTCACAGTATCAGACATTTAACTTTGAAGTGGCAATTATCTTGTATATTAGTTAAACTAAATTTTTTTACTGGTTGCTTATATATTTTCTGGTTCAACTCTGTCTACTTCATTATATCAAATCTCAGTTTGCCATGGTAAAATATAAATAAGAACGTGACTGCCGATTATGAGTTTACGACACCAACATTAAATACTTGATATATGTTTATTCAGGATGGATATATTTTGTTTGCTCGGAGGACTTCGTAGAGGACACAATTTGTCAGAATAGTTTATTTGGGAAATAACCTTCTGAGTGTGAAAAGGAAAAGAAAAGCTATATGGGGTTCAAACGAACTGTTTCTTTTGACCGGTCAGTCGGTCGAATGTTGTATTAAAGGATTTATTAGAATTGGTCTTTTAGAAAACGATTTATTATGAAACTAGATAGGTTGTCGTTATGCATAAATAATGATGTATAAAAGAAAGATAGGGAATCGATTTGAGTATAAATTGATCGAATTGTTTCTAAAAAGTCATCTGAATACAGTTATGTATTCTGATGTTTTACGACAAATAATTATGAATATTTAATTATTTTTATTCGTACAAAAAATGCCAAAATTTAAAACCAAAGTAAGTACTTATAAAACTCCTACTAACTTGTGCTCATATTTGTATTACTGATGACTAATTCGCATTACTAATATTTTTTTATAAATCTTATATGTCCAATACATTTAATTTATGATATCGTATTGAATAAATCAAATATTCAGAATCCCCAACGGTGTTAATCTAATTCCGTTTCCTAGAAAAATATTAGTATATTGATTACTCGAATTCTGTCATTTTCTGATATTTCTTTTTGCATTAAAAGCGTAAAAGAACCGGCTTTCAGATAACTAATTAAGCCAATAGAAGTGTCATTGAATATCAAAATCTTATTAACTGAATGCTTCTTCTTTGATAATAGATAGAGAGCCAGTATCAACTTCCCTGGAAAAAAATAAATTGATATAGGAGCCACATTTGTATTTTGATATAGTTGAAAACTAAAATTTTGGAAATGAAAATGTTTAAATAATTGATTTAAATATTTCGTGAAGCTATTTTTAAATTTATTAAAATAAAATTACACCTTGTCCAGTTATTAAAATAGTTAGTATACCGAGGGTTTATGATATTGAAATATATTTTTTATCTGCTGAAATTTACTCAATTTAATTAATGTAGTTTTAACCTCAATGGCATGATTTATGTAAAAAAGACATCAGTCCCTTCATTATCTTCGTTTCGTTTTATTTCCAACAGTATGATATTACCATCATTCATTCCTTCTGAACAGAAGTTGTCGAATATCCTTGAATCTGATCCCTTTAAGGACTAGTCACTCACGCCCTTCCTCAGATTGAAGAAAATTTACTAAGTTTGTGAGAGGAATGTCGTCTCCTATTTTATTTTATATTAGACCAGTCCCAACCTTGATGTATGTAAGACCTATATAACTTTCTTAATAAAATTATTTTCATCACAGTTTCATTACATTTTCTGGTGGAACTAATAGTTGCTTTAAAAAAACTGAAGTACCAGATCCTAGTACATCAAATTTTTTAACTTTAAATACATATTATAATTTTTTATTTAGATACTATTCAAGTCATTTCTGTAGATTATTTTTACATAATTTATTTCATTATAAATCTATCGGAAACTATATCTACAACTGCATAAGAAGGTGATTTATTTATATGACTATCACCAAATATTTTCAGTTTTGACTGGCAATCAAATTTAAATTTTTAGGTATAAATTAAATATTATTTTATAAGGTATATTTATATCTGTATCAAATTTTAATGGCGTAACTTAAAATTTTGATCGACATCTCAATGTTGACATCAACAAATTAATTATTAAGAAGAATCAAATGACTTGCATAAAGACTAATTAAGCTACTATAATAGGTTACATTTATCAAATTATTTCCAGCCTAATTATTTATATAATTAAAGTTTTATTACCGTGGCGTGCTTACAAGAATTTATATACGTATATTGTTTTATTGATTATCGAACAATTAAGATTAATAGCATTAATGGGTATAGTTTCTAGGCAATTTAGGGAAATAATAAAGTAACATGCCATGATTTATTGCTATTCTTTGAGTTATATAATTAATAAATAATTATGGTAAGAATTAGCATTAGAAAAACTTAGAATAATATTAGCAAATCAAAACTTTGATCGTTTAGAGTAAATTCCATAAAATACTGGCATTATTGACGATTTATAAAATATAGAGAATAGTTTTATTATTTTTATAATATACAAGTGTTATACGAGCAAATAGACACAACTATTTGTATAATAATTAGTATAATTAGTAATCCAAAATTTCAACTACAAATTCCATTATCATAATTATATATTTACTAATCACTCATATAATTCGATATTGAGACTTAAAGTCAATTAAGAAAAAATGGCATTGCTCTAAATAATCATTTCTTTTTCCTTGTTACTTTTTTTGTTTGGCTTTCATATACGGTTTCCAATGTAAATTCCTAATGGAAAATGTGTGTTGTATTTTTCTCTACGATTCATATGTCGTCATGTGCAAGTCGAACATTCAGAATAATAATGATCAAAATCTTTAAGGATGAAAACTATATAAATATATATACGAGTATATATATATATATATATATATATATATATATATATTATTATATAAATAAATAATTTATATATATATATATATATGTATATATATAAATAAATAAATATTTATATATATATATATATATATATATATATATATATATAATAATACACATGGTGAAAGGTGTATAGTTAAAAAAACAAAACTTTGAAAAGGCACCCATCCCGTTGTTAAAGACAAAACCAAAATTATGTATATATTATGAAAAACCTCTAAGTTTTTCATACGTTTGGAGTTCCAGTTTAACTCTTTCTAGTGGATTATTTAAAAAAAAATACCAAAACCACACACAAAGTTTAAAAACGGCCAAATTTATATAAAAGACGTGGTTTAAATTAAACTAGAATTAATAATAATTTGTGCATCGAGAGCCAGACTGGGACTCTAAAAGTATAGAAGACTTAAGTAAATATTTTGTCAATACAATTTTATTTTTAATAACTAATTTTTGTTTTTATTTTGGTCTCTGATCTATTAAACCAACCTTTATTTTTTTAGGTTCTTACATTTCACTTGCTAAGTTTCTTTGTATAAACCGAACTTTTTATTAGTTTTATTTACTATGAAAGAATAGAGTACTAATAATTTGTTTTATGTTTTTGTAATCTTAGGTTGTCAAATATCTCCCTTCCGCTTTTTTGCTCTTGGTTTATAATACAAAAAGGCGGAATGGAGATATTTGACAACCTAATATTTTAACAAATAGGTTAATTTTTTCAAATAAAACTTATTTTTCACAAAGATAGCTACATAATTAGACCGGCCATGTATAAATAGCTGGGCACTAGAATAACTTTGTCAGGAAAGTTTATTTTACGTTATGCTGCTTGGTGAATGAAACTAAGGTTTATATGAAGCTTTTCGACTTACAAGTTTGGAAGTTTAAGTCTTTTTGCTACATTCCGTTCAAAGCATCATTATTATTTTATATCTAATATCTCGCACTGTGTCCATTCCTCCAGACCGTTTTCAAATGACATTATTTGCCTCTTTAAATAAAACTTTTGCACAAGTGGCATTTCTCGCCCATCTGTCTTTTGTAGTTATATATCGTGAGTATTTATCTCGTCTCGTGTATTTATTTCTTGTATACTATCTGTTTCAGTATTCTGTTCGGAGCAGTGAAATTGGAAACCGCGCCGTTGACAAATTACCAGATTATATCAAATGGCTCATCTTATGTATACGAATTTAAGAAGGTAAGGCAAAAAACAAAGCCTCGATTATATTGCTAAATTGTTTCGTCTGATATCAAAGCAAATACGACGATAAATCAGATAAAATAGAGACTAACGTGCTATCATATTTTCTAATATTTACTAAGAAACTGGACGATATTTTAGAGAAAACTGATGGAACGTTTTGTTTTATCTGGCTTCGTTTATTTTTGTTTGAACTTCGAGATTTATTTAATAAAAATACATTTTATAATATTTAATTATGATAATAAATTCTTAGTTAAGTATATGATATAAAATTTATTTGAGCGGTTGTAAATAATAATATTTGAAATATAGTTCGATGCATCGTGCAATTTTATATTACATGTAATAAGGGCTCTCATTGGAGAGTTTCCTAAACAAGCCACATTTGCAAACTCAGTTTTGAGTTCAAATTCATCTCAGTAGCTATATAAGAATAATAAGATTCTGATTGCTATTATATTTGTAAATAAAAAAAAATTTAAAAAAAGTTTATACTACATGATTAATATAATTTGAAAATGAAATAATATTGCAAGATATATGAGATGTGTTATTAATATAATATTTACAAGAAGACCCAAAAAACTTTATTTTATCAAATCATTTTTATCTTATATGAAAAAACACTTATATTTACGATACTTTTTCAGTTATCATAATTTGACTAATCAATTGCCATACTGCATTCATAGTTTTATTTCCTTTAATTATAAAAACTGAAGTTTCAACGTTTTTAAATCCCTAATAATATATATTTGACTGACAATTAAAAAAATGAATTCTCTGAATAGAACTGTGAATTTATATTTTCCAAGGAGTACCCGCAATATAGAACCTTTATAGTTAAGAGAGCAATTTAAATATATTTGAGAGTTTTTAAACGCAATGCTAGATATTGAAGAGAAGTTTAAAAAGAAGGACATATTTTTTTCAGATTGTCATTATTTGTTTTAATATTTTTTCGAAAATATATTTATATTTAAAAGAAAAACCTAACAATTTTTAAAGGTTTATTCATAAATGCCATAAGACAGATCTAAATGCAAAAAAATAATCTTCTGAACAAAACTGTGAATCTGTATTTTCCATGGAGTCTCCACAATATAGCAATTTTATAGTTAAGAAAGCAATTTAAATATATTGAAGAGCTTTTAAACTCAAAGCTAAATATCGAAGTGAAATTCAAAATAAAGAGCAACTCATTTTAAACTCCAGAATGTCATTATTTGTTCTGATTTTTTTTTGGAAATATATTTATATTTAAAAAAAAACAATTTTTAAAGGTTTGATCACAAATGCGATAAGACAGACCTAAAATCGTATGGATACTTAAAGGAGTAACAACTATGTAACTGCCTAGAAACATAATTTATGTTTTTTTTTGTCGATTGAAAATTAATAAAGTTATAATATTGTAAAAAGTGATTTAGCAAATATTTGAGTCACAAAATAAAATATTCAAAAATAACTTCACCATATTCATTTTTGCGAGGGACATAGAATTTGAAAAAAAGCACTTATTGCACATACTTATGTCTAGGGAAATACGTAGGGGATTTTAAAAGTATTGATTTTTGTGTGATTAACGTGTACTTGAATTAAATCAAAACGTAGAGTGATGTTTCCCTTGCAATATTTTCAATGACATATTAACAAAAAGAAAAAGTATATACCATAGGCATAAAATGTAATATGTTATAAAAAATATGTAAACAAAATAGTATACAAATTTACAGTTATCGATGATGTAGGACTAATATAATAGAGCAATTTGTCCTTCTAATACTTTTCAAAACATTTTTTATATATTTCTAATATCCAACATATTATTTATTTTTTCCCATAGGCTGATCCCACAGAATTGACAATTGCCGAGAGACAGAAACGTGGTAAACCCAACGATGCAGTGAGTCGTAACATAACCATGGTTCTGGAAAACCTATTAAAAAATTACGAGAAATCACAACTGCCGACACAGTCCCAAGGTAAGATCAGTTCCTGGTGTCATCAAGGCTACATTTATTGGCCGTAATTAATTTATTTACTGCAATAAAATGAAGATATACCATGATTATATTTAAATCTGTGGGAATAGTATGCGGTAATTGTATAAAATTTGGATAATTTATCAGCTAATTGAATATTGTAGCCAAAACATAAACTTTTTCTCCTAAAAGTTAATATACCGATAAAATTAGAATAGAAGTTATACATTTATTTTATACAAAACAAACTGTCATATATATGCAAATGTAACTCATTTTAATAGAAAGAATTGTAATCAAACAGTATCAAAATGCGAAATGAGTTCCTCTCAAGCGATGCAAATAAAACCAGCAAGTCGCATCGGCACCACCAGCAAAGTACTATAGAAGTTTAATTATAAACTCGCGGTTTTCGGCGATACGAGAACGATCCGGAAACCACTTTTCTCAAGTATTCCCAATATTGACAAATCCACAACATACTTTGAACGAGACTTTTGCTTAACCTGCTGTTGAAATTTAAATAAACATCGGTCTGGGCACCATTTGGATAGTGGAAATAATAAACTTGATCCAAAGAAAATTGCTTCATTTTTTGTTCAGATTTTTTTTGTTGCTCAGAATAAAGTAGATATAAAAAAAATTACCAAAAATCAGAATAGAAAAAATTATTTCATTTATAAATATTTATTATGGATATTATCATAATCAAACACCAATTTTACTTTTTGCATCCACTAAATTTCTTTATTGATTTATTATAATAATATTAAAAAAGTCATCAAAAACTTAGTTCTAACTGTTTGAATTTAAACGAATAAATCCATAAAAACAAAAAAAAAATTGAAATTAATAAATCCTGTATTTGATCGGAAAATTCTGAATTCGGTCTTAAAATCTACTCCTGTAGCCCGGTTTTTTATTCTTGTGCTTATGGATTCAGAATGGGTTGCGAAAATCTGTTTAAACGGATTTTCATTTTATGGTGATGGATGAAACTTTCACCTCTGAAAATCTCATTCACTAAATAATAATTTAAAAATAATGACTTAAATTTTGTTTTTTTTATTTTGCAAAAGTCGGTTACCGCCAAGTCTGGCTCTATTCAAAACGATATACATATCTTGTTTGTACATATACATACATATTTTGTTCGCAAATATAGAATTTTAGAATATTACTATATCTACTAAATTTATACATTCATGATCTTTATAACAAATATATATTTTTCATAGGCAATGATTATAAAAAAAATTACTCGTTATCATTTAAACATAGTTCTAACTGTTTTGAAAGATTGTTTATAAAAACCAAGGATTATTCAATTTTTTCCAAAATACATTTGGGAAGAAATAAATCCTGAAGTTAATCATAAAATCTACTCTTGCAGTTTTTAAAAATCTCTACTTGGTTCTCGGTTTTGGAATGCGTTGCAATAATCTGTTTAATTAAATGGATTTCCATTTTATGATGATGGATGAGACTTTTAACTCTAAAAATCTTTTTTTATGAAATAAATAATTTAAAAATAATGACTTTAAATTTAAGAAGAATTTTCCAAAAAACGGTTACCACCAAGTCTTACTCTATTCAGAACTACATACATATTCTTGTTTGTCATTCGCAAATATAGAATTTTTGAATATAGTACATTGCTATATCTACTGAATTTACACATTCATAATCTTCGTGACAAATATATATTTTTCATAGGCAATGTTTATAAAAAAGATTACTTGTTATCATTTAAACATAGTTTTGAAAGAGTTTTTATAAAAACCAAAGATTATTCAAATTTTTTTCAAAATACATTTGAGAAGAAATAAATCCTTAAGTTAATCATAAAATCTACTCTTGCAATTTTTAAAAATCTTCTACTTGGTTCTCGGTTTTGGAATGGTTGCAATAATCTGATAAATGAGACTTTTATCTCTGAAAATCTCTTTTATGAAATATTATCTTAAAAATAATGACTTACAATTTAAGAAGAATTTCGCAAAAATCGGTACCACCAAATCTTGCTCTATTCAAAACCATATACATATTCTTGTTTGTCATTCGCAAATATAGAATTTTAGAATATAGTACATTGCTATATCTACTGAATTTACACATTCATAATCTTTGTAACAAATATATATTTTTCATAGGCAATGTTTATAAAAAAGATTACTTGCTAAAAGTCATTTATTAACAACCACATTTATTACCAATTGCTATGTAATTTTAACTACAAAATCGTGTCGTTGAAAAGATCTCAAGAATTATGCTTAGCAAAAGCTTGCAAAGGTGTTTTATCGGTTTGAGGGTTATAAAACTAATATTTACAATATTACGAAAGGAATTTTATATACTTTTATTTACATTAATACAAAGTAATACATTGAATTTCCGCTTATATTTTTCTTGACTCTAGATGTTCAGTCTTAAATGTAAAAAATAATTCAAATGTATTCTCTCATATATTTTTACAAAGTAATATTATATAATATATAATAGTATATATATATATATATATATATATATAAAGCGGAAGGGAGATATTTGACAACCTAATACATGGAATTTCTGCTTATATTATTCTTGAGTTGAGATGTCCAGTCTTGTAAAAAATGCAAAAAATAATTTAAATATATTCTCTTATATTTTAGATATAAATAATATTATAAAATTCGCATATTTATATACGTTTCTAAATCACTTAATAAACCAACGCATCCTAGAAATTTGAATGCAAAGAAATGATATTTCTTTACCCAGAGATTTTTTTATTTTTTTACTTTATTTTAGCAATCAGAAATACAATAATAATTTCTATAAGATATTGTACATTTAAATAAGTATGATATTATATAAGATAATCCAGTGATATATCTTAGTTAGTTTGCACAAAATCCAATGGCCATATTCTTTTCAGCCTTCCATTGTCATGCGGTAGTAGGATATTAAAAAAGATAAATTAGAATTTTTTTATTACCTTTATACATCAATTCCAAGTTCACAAATTACGTCGACTGACTGATTTCCAACAGCTCGAATTAATTTCCAATTGAATGATAAAACAAACCAAAATCTATTCACATTAGTTAGTATCTTGTCTAACTCGGTCTATCTCATTGTGATATTAGATTACCAAATCCTCAGTCTCCGTGTTTGATGTTTGTTATTTGAGTAACGATTCGCAAGAAACAAAGGCGTTATTGCACTGACGTGTGCCGTTTCATACCATTAGAATATATGTACTTGTTTGCATCCTGCGAATAATCCGGGAAATGGGAAGGAAACTAAATAGTAGAAATAAAATTTGCTTTACTTGTAAATGAACATAATAATAAATTACAACTTTTAATCATTTAACTCAGAGAGATAAATCTTAAAACTGATGTCTATCAAAATATCTTTATGTTTATACTATGCATGAGTTTCCATTTCTTTCAGGAATAGCAACCTTAGTGAAAACTAATATGCTGATAAGAAGCATGGGTCCAGTTTCAGAACTAGACATGGTAAGTTGTAATCAAATATTAAAAACTTTGCCTCAGATCATCTAATTATAATTTTTGCAGGAATATTCAATGGATTGTTATTTTCGGCAATATTGGCGAGATACTCGTTTGAGCTTTCTTGGTCCTATAAAATCACTGTCACTCAGTATAAAGGTAATTGAATCATTATAGATTAAATCAAACATTGGAAACTGTGAAAAAGGGTATTAAATTAAAATTAATGTTGGTGTCATCAATGTTTAAAATTAATTAAATTATAAAATTATTATTTAAAAATAAATCATACGTTTCATGCTATTTCCATACAAAACTTTTATTGAATAGCGCTATATCTAAAAAAAATTATTAAGAGCTAAAACTTTCAGAGAATTGTTTTTTATCAATTTGGAACTATTTGAGCCCTTCGGAGCAAGGAAAGTCGAAAATGTCCATATTAAGGACCACTCTTGTATATTGCTATTTTTTGTTTATAAAAACTTACATAATATGCAACAAACTAGCAAATTATCTGGCAAATTTTTAAAACTCATTTTCTGACGTTATCGTTCTTCGCTTTTTGCAACAGCAATGCATTTAAATATGCATCATCACTTTGTCTTATTTAATTTTAAATTACTTTTATTAAAATAATTTTGAAATAGATCGCATTACCCAGTTGTTTTAATTAAATTTATTAACTTATAAAAATTTTCCGCATATAGACTTGAAAGTTGCCATTCTTGCACATCACAGATGTATATGCTTTTGCTGGAACACATTACTCAGCAAGTTATATAAATATCATTAAGCTCATTTCATTACCCTGCTTGCAAAAAATATTACTTCATTTCTGTGAAATATGTAATATTTCTTACTGACCATGTAGAAATAAAAATTTTGTGCGTTAGCTTATTTTTATTATTTTTTGCGGAAACCATAATTAATAACCATATTATATATATATATATATATATATATATATATATATAAATCTGTAATATATCAATATCCTATTAATCCATTTAATAATAACTTAATCAGCAAAATATTTTTGAATAGGTATATAAAAAATTAAAACTAGGTTGATCAAGTATCATTAATAATTTACCTCATTGTTTCAATTATAATATATGCATACTAAATATAAGTATTTATTTGTATATTGAAATTTTTTATTCTTACAGATGCTAGAACGGATTTGGAGGCCTGATACCTATTTTTACAATGGAAAAAATTCATACGTTCATACAATCACAGTTCCAAACAAACTCTTGAGAATAACTCAAGATGGAGATATTTTATACTCAATGAGGTAAAATATAAAATTTTCAATTTTAGCAATTTCTATGGATCAATATAAGGCTCTCTCAGAAATTTGAAATTTTAACGTTGTGAAAAAAATAATTTCATATGACACCAAAAACCGAAGTTGTCACACAGGTACTGTAATTCATATTTAATTAAAATATTAATTGCTTTCCAGATTGACGATCAAGGCCAAATGTCCGATGGAGCTGCGCAATTTCCCAATGGATCGCCAAAGCTGCCCTCTCATCCTAGGAAGCTGTAAGTCAATCCAATTATCAATATTTTCTCGATCATTTCGATAGAAAAGATAAAAAAATATATTTAAAATATAAAAGAAAACGTATTTTTTACAAAACCCATTCTTATTCGTAAGCACTCTCAGGAGATACTAATAAATGCTATAACGATTTTTATTAACAAAACCTCAAACTTTACACAAACATTTAAATAAACTAACTCCAAAGTCATAATTTCATTTTTTGTATATATATATATATATATATATGTATATATATATATATATATATCTTTTAAACTGTATGATTTAGTGTAGAGCTATGCATGAATGCTTTTAGAAAAAGATCTGATTTTTATATAAAAAGTTAAAAGCATAGGATTCCGCACGATAAAATCCTTCTGTAGCTTCTCGAATCTTGGGTTTCAGATAAATAGAAGTAGACGCTAGACGTGATAGATTTAAGTCTAAAAAACATTTGAAAAAAATGCTGGGAAAAAGATTTTTGCGTATTTTAAGTAGAACATAAAACATTGTAAGATTTAAAATGATGAAGATTATTTTGGTTTGGCTGAATCTTCTTAAAGCAGTTTTGAAACGAATTTTAAAATTACATCTTCCTATATAACCGGTATGTTTGATGTTTTTTTCTGTAAAAACTTGTTAACACATATGATTTATTATAATATTCCACGATGGATTGGAACTTTCACCTTTGAGATCTTTCTTTCGGAACATAACGCCGAAATATACAAACATTATTTACCAGAACATAACATTATAGATTTTAATATTTATTATTAAATAAAATTAGATTGGTAACATTAAGCCCATAAGAAATTATTTAATTTTTTTATAATTAGTAAAATTAAATTTTTCTTTCTTACGGAATATAACTTCGATACATACAAACATTTTTTAAAGAAACATTTCATATTATTATAGATTTGAGTATTTGCCATTAAATAAAATTAGATTGGTAACATCAATTTCACAAAGTTCATAAATAATTATATGATTTTTTTTATAATTAGTAAAATTATATTTTTTCTTAAAAATTACAGATTTAAACTTTACTTACATATACAAAAAAACACATTGCACATTTTCAAATATTTTTATATCTATATATAATAATTAATTTTTGCACTTTTTATAAAAAGTAATAAAAATTTTAACCACATTTTTTATTAATTGAATTATTTTAAAACTAAGTATATAATTATTAAATTATACGAGTTCAGAAATTTTATCAGATCGAGTTCAGAAAGTTATCAGGCAAATAATTATCAATTTAAAATCTGATCTTACTAATAATAATCTAATCTAATGATTATTATTAATTTTGAATCAAATTTTGAAGGGGTTTTGTGGAATCTATAGTACAATATGATTTCAATGTACAAAGAGATTCCGATAAGATTCATATAGGTAAATAGGAAATCTATGAGAATTTCTGCATAACTACATCAACCATATAAATTTAAATTAATTTTAGAAACAATTTTTCATAATAAACAGGAATATAGGTTTGATACTTAGTTAATTAAATGAAAAAAATATTAGAATTTAAATAAATTGAAATACATTATTATTAAATAATACACGAGTTCAGAAATTTTATCAGATCGAGTTCTGAAAGTTATCAGGAAAATAATTATAAATTTAAAATCTGATCTAATTAATAATAATCTAATTCAATAATTACTATTAATTTTGAATCAGATTATGAAGGGGTTTTATGTAATATATTATACAATATGATTCCGATATGCAACGAGAATCCAATAAGATTCATATAGGTAAATAGGAAATTTAAGAGAACGCATACATAACTGTTTTCTAAAAAGAATTTTAGAAAGATTTTTTTATAATTTTTAAAAATATAAGTTTTATACATAGTAAATTAATCAGAAATAAATAAATTTAAAATAAAAATAATTTACTTGTATTTGTTTTTACACAATTCTAATTCTGATTCTGTATATGATACATAGGCATTAGTATTACATAACATATTTAGAATAACAGTATACCCAAACCGACTATTCCTAATTCAAACTAATTAAATTAAAATTTCTATTCCAATTAAAATATTTCTTCTAGTTGTTCTTCATATTGTTTTTTACAGATGCTTACACGCGAGAGCAGTTGGAATATCAATGGCAAAACGCGGACTCTGTGACCTTCGTTTCGGGCATGACACTATCACAATTCGATCTGATGAGTGCCCCTTACAGAAATTTCACTTTTACGAGAAGAGAAGGTAATTTAACACTTAGAATAATGAATGTAGGTATTTAATTTCATTTCGAATGGAGCATTGTTTACGAAAAACGTTTCAATTACATTCGGCTCCTGCTTTGTTTACAATACTCTATTTTTTATTCAAACTAATTAACTACTCTGTTCACAATGAGTATTTTAATTGGTATATAAATATGTCCATTTGGAGAATTTTACACTGCATGTTAATGATGTCTAAAATATGTAAAATATGTCTAGAATGAATCAATTTTTTAATCAGAACGGGCTAGTAAAAACTTTTTTTTTTTTAATTTGAAAATTTGCTTTATTTGACTTAAATACATACATTGATTTTTACATAAAGATACAAATTGTATACACCTATTCTGGGAATATCATTATACTATCATAATATAATATTATTTGCATATATATATTTGTTTCAATTAACTTAGATAAGTATGAAAAGAGCTATTAAAAACATACTGTCATCAAGTGTTAGTAAGAACTTTTTATTCGATTATATGTTATACTTTTATTTTACTTATCATGTTATTATATCTCATATTTTTCAATCTATATGTTTTTTCGCGTTATACATTGTATAAATTTCTGTGCTAATTTCTTATTTATTATCCTGAAAAAAAAATAGAACTTGTTGGTTCCTTTTCATAATTTTTATTCATTTTTGTTAGCTTAATTAATTAATGTTAGATGCTATTTTAACCCGCTTTTGGAATTTTTAATTCGGCATCTCTTTCATAACTTATTGTTTTCATATAAGCATAATTGTTGTCTTGTAATTTTATTATCAAATAATTTCAAAAAGTAAATTTAAACCTATACTTCTCGAAAATCCGGGATAAAAGAATTAAATCCGGGACAAATTTTGCGTTTACAAAAGCTTAAAACATAAGGTGGAAATCTGTATTAAAATAGAGAAAACTTTGGTAATTTAGATATATCTGTTATGTTATATTGACTGAAATACGTATTTCCAATTTAAAATAGTACAATTAATCTTAAGAATAGAAGGCTAAGGTCATAAATTTCTATGTAGTCAGATTAGCCTAGTGGTTATTATTCCAGTAAATAATTTAATTATTTTATCACTTTTACTGTACACTTTGTTTTTTGTGATTTAATTCTATTTTACTAGTGTATAACAATTATCTTTGGTTCAAAACAAGTGACTTTAAAATAACATGTTTTTCAACTGGAGATTTATGTTGGAAGACTAAAAATAAGACCATTCAGTCCATTGTTTTCTTCCGCGACTTTTTGTTTCACTTTCTTTTGATATCTTGTTACCAGATATTAGATATTAGAAAGTTTCGTGCTATACAGGAAATTTTGAATAACTCACAAAGATGATATTAAAGCTTGTTGCAATTGCAAAACTAGAGCAAGCAAACTTTGAAAATAATTTTTTTTGGCAAAATCTAAAATTGGAAATAAGAATTCCAGAATCTGAAAGTACGTTATATTATATTTGAGGCAATAGTCTATTTAAAATAACTAAGTTTTATTATATTTGTACTTCTGGTATATAAGAGATATAGGAGATCTTTAAACTAGGTGCAGATTGTGCCCTATGTAACATTTGCTTGACTGACTGACAAATTTTCGTTGAGTGTTACTTCAACCGTTGTCTAAACAATGGAATTTAGAATGCATGAATAGCATATTTAATAGAACAATGTAACATTAGTTTTGGAGAGAGAAATCCAAGTTTAGTGCCGATGACAGATGAACTTTATATCATATCTAAAATGTTGCATTAATTTTAGTAAGTTCAAGTCATTCATGTTTGTTACAGTTGCTCCCATTCGATTTTTGTGTGCAAAACGTTCATCCGGATTTAAACCTAATCCCAGTTGCATTAGCCAGATATTTATGCATAATTTTACGCATAAATATACATATGTGCTCTTATGGTTTTACACATTTGCCACATGTAAGTCCGTGTCGCGGTTTGAGCTCACGTCCTTGCATAACTAAGAACGTTCCAGAATGCCATTAGTATTTAATTATTTCATATCTGATGCAACGTGATGACTATTTTGCACATTCGACACAGAGAGATTATACTTTAATCGTATTAAACATCCGGACTATTAAACCGTGGACTCTTTTATGATTTATCTCGAATGAATGAAACATAAGCATGGATGGATATTTATGCCAATATGCTCATGGTCAGGTTAATTTAAGACAAAGACATCGCCACAAATGCATAATGTTTAATAAAATAATGAGATTAAGTGATGAAGATGAATTGCATTAGGGAGTTTATGAAAGAAAGCACTTTTTTATTTTAATTTTCTTTTTTTTCTTCTTTTTTTGGTGCTTGCGTACAAATTTGAATCTAATACTCCGTAACCAACTTCTCTAGAATTTTTTTCTTTAAAATTTATCAAAATTTGAACTAAATTATATGAAAAAAGTAAAATTCATGCCAATTTGCTTGTTGGTATTATAATATATATACATATATTCATTTATTGAAGGAAATACATACTTGATTCATCTGTGTAATATGTTTGTTTTTGCATTTTTATAAAATATTAAATATTATATAGCGCATAATACAATAAAAAAGTATCGTATATTCTAGTTAAAATTGAAAGTTAAAAATCTATCGAACAATTCATTCAAAGAACTCTCTAGAGACGGTTGAACGGCTTGTTGATTGTGAAATTGGCCTTTATCTTGTATATGGTATTACGTAAAAACTAGTTTGGTGCTGACGGTCAAGTACAAGCCGCCAATGCCAGCCAGATCAGGAACGAACACTATGATTTATATAGTGAGTAATAATTTCTAAAAGCAAATACGAAATGTATAGAGAAAATCGTTTCGCCATCTATAGAATAGAAATTTAGTTTGATAGGCCGAGTTTCTTTAATAAATAGAATCATAAAATTTATATCAAATATTAATTTCAGGTGATTTTTCTGTCTTGCAAGTATCTTTTAATCTGCAGAGGCACACAGGATACTTCCTAATTCAGGTGTGTATCAAAAACTTTTGTTTGTGTGCATTATTTTAATCAATGAAATGTTTGATAAAAAATATATTTTTCAGGTTTATGTACCATGTATACTCATTGTGGTTTTATCTTGGGTTTCTTTCTGATTACACAGAGAAGCAACTTCGGATAGAGTAGGGTTGGGAATAACAACTGTGCTTACTTTGTCTACTATCAGGTAAATCAATGTGGTAAATAATTTGATATCATCAGTTATTAAGGGGGTATTCTAGTGTAGAATTCAAAAAATTCGTTTTTTTCTTGTTTTATATTTTTAAAGTTTAATTATCTAAGAATATGGGTACGAGAAGGTTTTTGAAAATTCGAATTATTTTCGGAGATATAGGCATTTTACTGACTCGGTCTCCATACTGGTTTGGCTTCACGCAAAACTTTAAAGGCGTTTTTCTCAGAACAGACTTTTCCAGTACTGTTGACACGATTTCTCGAGTTTTAATCGACCGATTTACTTGAAATATTCAGAGAGTCTTATTTATAGACCTATCTATAGCCTGAACTAGGATTATCCCCAAATTCCAACTTTTACTATTTTTAAAAAATTCGAGAAACTCAAAAAAAACAGTAAAAAAAACACATTTTTTTCAAACGGTCGCCAATTTGTAAAAAAAAATCTTTTTACTCACCGCTAGTTCAGGCGATTGCGACATCATTGTAGATTGATAATCTTTTTATTTTTTGCATTTCCGATGGCTAGAAGGGCTGAAATCATGTCAAGACTGAGGTGCCAATTTTTTGAGACCACCCACTTTATTAGCTGCCAGTTTTTTCAATTTTTATTTTTTATTTTTGTTTTGTATTTTAATAATATTAATAAACAAGTGGTAAAAAAAATAGACAGTAAAAACATTCATTGCTTTTTTATGACACTTTAAAAATGACCTAAAATTTATCGCTCTACACTAGAATGCCCCCTTAAATATTAAAATATTAATGGTTAATTGTATTATAGCTTAGATTCTCGAACTGATCTGCCTAAAGTGCGCTACGCAACAGCCTTAGATTGGTTTCTCCTCATGAGCTTTTTCTACTGCATTGCTACGTTGCTTGAATTTGCAGGGGTTCATTATTTCACAAAAGTAAGTGTTATAAGATAGATTGCAAAAATGTATAAGAAGTCTGTGATCTACCAAGATGCTGCCGAACTCTATTAAAACATTTGCACTTTATTTATATTGTCGAAGGACCAGATATACTTAGATAGTGGCTATATCAGACCGAATAAAAGAATAATAATAATGTTTAACTATTGTATATTTGAATGAAAGATTAAGATTATAGATGATATGTTAGATGTTATTGCTTTGAATGTTGATTTAAGACTTGTGGCTTAGTTGAGTATTGATTTAAGACTGATGTTAGTTAGATAATATTTGAGTTAATACTAAATTATAAAGATTTTACAATTTTATATGATTTTTCTGATTGGCTCGTTTTTGTGGGTTCAAGCACATTCCATTACATATTTGACCAATCAGGTACCGGTAATTCCTTGATACTTAGGCTCTTAGAAAAATGTATTAATGCTATGATGATACATTAGGGACAGGATGCATCACAATGAAAGGGATTATTATAAGTTCTAAATTATATAATAAGAGATGAGGGTTATTATTGCTATCCTGCCTGAAGGTAATAAAATATATAATTATACCAGGGTTGAGTAAGGCGTTAACAGTAAGTTTAAAATTTAGTTTGCCATATTGCATATATATTATATTATAAACAAATTCCCGTTACAAACATACCCCCATATAAATCATCAAAGTCTTAATGCATAAATATATAATACACATCAATGTTTAACCTTTATAACACGTCTATACACAATGTTAAAATATCGCCAAGCGTCTTGGTAGAAAAATAAACAAACATCACATCTAGTACGCCACGGGTAAAAAATGTGTCAGCGTCAAATATATTACACAACGAAATTGTTATAATTTCGCTTATTTCTTGGGAAATTCATCAGCCCGGGCATCCGGGCAAGCAATCTGGTGCTACTCGATTCCTTAGCCGGGCGATCGGTTTGACGATCGCGCAAATTGAAAGCAGCACGAGTACGGCTATGCATACTCCGACTGTGTAATCGCTGTTTAATCTTCGGAACCAAACTGTTAGAATTCCCAGCATCAGGCAGACCATGCCGTGTGCGTACGTGGTGATGGCCAGCACCGTGTTCAGCGTGCGGTAGTTGTCCGTGGTGCAGCAGGCGGTGCTGTCGCCGCCGAATCCGCCCATGATCACGACGATGCATCGGATCGTCATTTGGACGAAGAGCAGGAGGCCGACCACCCCTGATAATAAAAATATGTTATTGTGCGTTATGCAAATATCGTTTAATCTTTGTGTTTGTGTAATGATTTTCTCTAATTTCATCATTTGTAGAATATATGTCTGCATTCTGCATTTAAGATACGTGTTATTTATACAATAATTTTCATAATAGATGGCGACTTCGTAAATGAAATATATGACGTTCATTCAAGTTTAGGGTAGGAATTTTGACTAATCGTATGAATTTTAAATAACTCAAAGAGTTATTGAGTTGAGTGATTTAGAATTGAGTTATTTAAAATTGTATATATATATATATATATATATATATATATATATATAGTATGATTAAGGTGACCATACGTCCCGGATTGGCCGGGACGGTCCCGATTTTCCGCCTTGCGTCCCAGCTTTTCCTAAAAGCTAGGATTTGATCTTTTCTAAAAGTCCCGGTTTTAGGTGTTTTGTTCCGAATTGTCCGTGATTTTTAAAAATGTTTTGAATGTCATTATTTTTTTAAATATATCTCAACTAAAAAAATTGAACCGAAAAAAGGTGCACATAAATTTTTAGCTCAACTCTCTCCCCTCCCCCCGCGTCTTGGATCTTATGCACAAAAATATGGTCACCTTATGTATGATTCTAAGGGGATCTGAAAATTTTGAGAAATTCATTTTATTTAACTATATAATTATTAAAAATAAGTTAACTATTGAAGAATATATGTACAAGATAATTTTTGAAAATTTAAATTATTTTTGAAAATATAAATCGTCAAAGGAACCTCCCCCCCCCCGCGTCACAAACTTTATGCACAAAATATGGTCACCTTATGTATGCTTCTAAGGGGGTCTGGAAATTTTGAGAAATTCATTTATTTAACTATATAATTATTAAAATAAATTTAACTATTGAAGAATATATGTACCAGATGATTTTTGGAAATTTAAATTATTTTCGAAGATATAAATCGTCAAAGGACTTATTGCCTCAATGCGTAGGTTCAGAAACTCAAAATATATATAAGTCTCCTGTTTTAGATTTTTGTGCCCAAACATATTCGTTTTACGCGAAACTTTAAACGCTTTTTTCTCAAAACTATTTTTCTCGATATGGATCCCACATTTTTCAGGCTTTACTAGGCCAATTTACTCGAATTTTTAACAAGGTTTTCTTCATAGACATCTTATTAGCATGAACTCTACGTTCTAATTTTTACTATTTTTCAAAAATTCGAGAATATCAAAATTTTTCAGACTGTCGTTATTCTGTAAAAAAAAATAATAAAACTTTTCCGCAGTTCATACGAAGGCGTTATAATTCTAGATTTATAATATTATTTTATCGGATTATTTGGAAAGTTAAATCAAGGGTATGATTTGAACAATTTTTGAGACCTTGCACTTCAAAACCAGCAAGAATTAAAACTTTGGACTGTTTTCATATTTAATTTATTTCTGTATTCTTAAAACTTTAATTAATAATTTGAAAAAAAATTGGATAGTAAAGATGATATTTGACTTTTTCACGGACTCTCAAGAATTACATACAATTTATGCCCTAGACTAAAATACCGTTTTCAGCTACTAGTTTAATTTTTCGAAATTCTTGGACAGTAATCTTTTATCTTTTTTTTTTTTTTTTTTTTTTTTTTTTTTGAATTAAACAAATAAATTTATTTATTTACATATATACATTATTTTCATATCTCAGTCAGACAGAGGTGCCTGGTATGAGAGATTATGAAAAACAGTTTTCATATAATATTTACATTTCATTTGACTATAATATCTATTTCATTAATATAATATCTATATATAACTCTTCAGTCTTCTTTTCTTCAATTTCCATATAGTACTTCTTTATTTTTCTTTTAAAATTATCATTATCATTGGTCATCTTAATATAGTCTGGCAATTCGTTATATATTTTGGTAGCACTCCATATGACATTTTCTCTCAAATTCTTTTTTCTATTGCGTTCAATGTGAAAATTGTTGTGTTGTCTCGTGTAGTGTTCATGTATATCTTGATTTGTGTCTATTGTTGCACTTGTTTTAATTCGGTTAAATTTCATTTTGTGTATTAGTTTGCATTTCTCTATTTTAATTATGTTATTTAGTGAATGATTATTTGTTTCTCTCTGCAAGTATTTGGTGGGTGTTAGATGTGGTAAATTATATGCTATTTTTATGGCTTTATTCATTATTCTCTGTATGTCATTTAGGTTTGCTTTAGTTGTTTGGCTCCATGTTGTTATGCCATATAAAATTATAGGTATTATTTGCGTTTTAAGAATTAGTATTTTATTTTTTTTGCCGAAAGAGTGGATCCTTTTCAATGCCCTGTTAATGTTCCTATCTTTCTTTTTATTTTGTTTATATGGTCTGTCCATGTCAGTTTTTCATTTATTATCAGTCCTAAGTATTTTATGCTTTCCACTTCCTCTATTGCTCTATTATTTACTTCAATTTTTAGTTTAGTGTTCTCAGTATTTTTTCTATGTTTGAAATATATGTATTTTGTTTTATCTATGTTATTGTTAGTTTATTTTCAGTTAGCCACTCGGTGTATATTTCATGTCCGTGTTTATAATATCTTCGAGTCTTTTTTTATCCTTATCCGCATATACTATCGCTGTATCGTCTGCATATAATATGTATCTTCCCTTTAATTTTGCGTCTTTAAGGTTATTGGTGTATAATAGATACAATAAAGTCCTAATACAGAACCTTGTGGAACTCCACAGGTTATGTTACATCCTCCACTTGTGAAATTTCCCACCTTCGTCCTTACCACTCTTTTCATGAGGAAATCTTTGATAATGCTGTAAGACAAACCCTCTACACCAAATCTATTAGTTTATTGTAATATGCCATGATCTACTGTATCGAAAGCTTTTTGTAAATCAATAAAAATTGCAACTGTGTGCATATTTTCCTCAAGGTGCTGACTGATGGTATTAGTCAAATCTATTAGGGCACCTTGTGTATTTGATGAAGGGAGGAAACCATATTGATTTTTGTCAATTTTTTGAATGAGAAAATCAAGTAATCTTTTTTTTATTACTTTTTCATATATCTTGGAGAATGTGTTTGTTATTGTTATAGGTCTGTAGTTATTTGGATCTGTTTTGTTTCCTGTTTTGAAAATTGGTTTTATTGTAGCCATTTTAAGACACGATGGAAATACACCACATTCTATGTATCTATTCATTAAAACAGCAAGTAGTGGAGCTATTATATTTATTATTTTTTTAGTGATTCTTGCTGTTATCTTGTCTTCGCCAGGTGCAGCGTTATTTTTCAGATTTTCAACAATTTTTTTTATTTCTTTCTCATCTGTTAATTCAAAAATTTGGATTTTGTTTTTAGGTCTGTGTATTGATGGTTTATAGTTGCAATGATCCATTTTCTTTTGTAGTTTCATACCTATTTCAGCAAAATGTTTGTTGAGATACTCCGCAATGTCTTCCTTTTCTGTAAGAAATATATTTTTATCTTTATGCTGTATTTTTTCAATATTTTCTTTATATTCGTTTTTATTTTTTCCTCCTCCTAATGTTTTATTTATTAGTTCCCATATTTTTCGAGAGTCACTTTCACATTTTTTTTTTTCTTCTGAATAGTATTGTCTTTTTGCTTTGTAGATCATATTTTTTATATCTTTTTTATATTATTATATTTCATTTTTATGGCATTATGTTTGCTTACTTCATTTATATTGCATTTCTTTAAATTATTGTAGAATTTGTTTCTGTATTTCATTAAGTTAATAATTTCTTCTGTTATCCAGGTATCTTCTCTGGCTCTTATTGTTTCTTTGATTTTATTTTCTTTTGCTGCATCTTGTATAATTTTTATTAAATCCTCTAATTGGTCCACTATTTTAGAGTCTAACTTACAAGTTATTGTCTTTTCTAATCCTTCTAATCTACTGCTATCTAATTATTTTATGCATTTTTGGTTTGATTCTCGGCGTATTTTGTATAAATACTGTTATCATTTTGTGATCAGATATTTCTGTGTCTTCTATTTCTATATTAATCTTCTTTTTATAATTTGATATAACATGGTCAATTATTGATTTAGTGTTTTGAGTCTCCCTTGTGGCGTATTGGCTATCTATATTATTTATTATTTTGTATCCTGATGATTCTATAATATCTTTGTAACAATTTGATATATTATTGTTTGGAATTATATCTAAATTCATATCACCTATTATTATTGTATTTTTACCGTTTTCTTCCATTTTTTTTTCTATTAAATTTATCAGATCTTGTTTATTATTATTCGGAGGGTTGTAAATAACAATAAACTTTATAACAGGGTTCATATTTGTTACTTCTATTTCCAGGAGGTTTTATTATTTTTATTATTATTTTCTATGACAGTACAGTTTAGTTCATTTCTTACAAATATCGCTATTCCTCCTCCTCTTTTCTTTTCTCTGCAGTTGTAAAAACCTCTAAAATTTTTAAATTAAAGTATCCTTCTTCTTCTTGGTATATCCAAGTTTCTGTTAATATTAAAATTTGGCAATTTTCATTTTTATGCATAATTATTTCTAAGTCATCTATTTTATTTCTTAAGCTTCTTATATTGAAATACTTAATCTCTATTTTCTTGTTATTGCTATTATATTTATTCATTTTCTTGAATTTGTCCATTGTAATTCGTCGACATTCTTACCATTTTGGCTCTGTGTTGATAACATGAACATTCCGTTTCATTTGCATTATGCACCGTATTAAAATTTGATTTGTATTTTACATTGGCATTTGTGCAGTTTATGCATTTCTTAGATTTGCTCTTACAATCTCTTGTGTTATGCTCATCCGCACAGTTTGCACAGAACGTCTTGTTTTTGCATTCTACTGCCCTGTGTCCATATGCCTGACAGTTATAACATCTTTTTATGTTTAAATCTTCTATTATATGAGCTGTCCTCCATCCTAGATTTACATTATTTTCTAACAATTTTTCGTATGTTTTGCCCGATGTTTCGATATATGTAATCCAA